AACAGTTTTTAGATCGTCTGATTTGAGCTACTGGCTAAAGATTCTCCAATATTTGTTTTTTCTAAATTTTCTCCTAGGTAAAAATCATTAAACTGTAAATTTTGTTCTTCATCCAAATAAATTTTTGATATATCATTTGTCAAGGTTATCCATATTTTCCTAGTTTGATATCTTTTATTTAATGATTTTTTGACTTTGACATAGTGTGTACTTTTTATAATTTCTTGGTGTAGATGTGCAGGTTGGTACTCGGCTGGTATTCCAAAAATTTGTCCTTCAGGTGTAGTTATCGAGGTTATACATATAAGATTTGATTTTCCATCTGCTGTTGATTTCACTGCAAACTCAAATCTTAACTTTTCCATGTTTTGTGAAATATTTGCAATAAATGTTGTTTTATAATAATATTATTTATCTTATTTGAAAAATAAAGACTTAACTACGTTTCTGTAATAATAAAAGATTTATTTCATTATTAGAATTTTAATACAAAAAACATTTTAAAAATTACACTTATAATAAAATATTATCTCACCTGTAATAATAATAGAAACATCATTTAAAGCCTCTATTTCATTCTAAATAATAATAAACTAATAAATAAACTCTTCTCGAGGAAAATTTATAATAATTACTATATCAATTATTTTATTAAATGTCAAAGTTAAAAAACTAAAAAGAAAATAAAGTAAATTTGGAATAAATTAAAAAGTATTTATGTAACAAAAATAAACTTAAAAAAAAGCACTTGCATATGAAGTGGTTTTCTTTACATGTATGTCTCCTAAGCAATATCTATTCTTATCTATCTGTAATAAAACCAAAAAAAAAATTGTAATGTACCGATTTTAACGAAATTTTGTGAAGTGATAACTTATTACTCGATTCAACGTTTAGGATAACTTTTACTTCAAGAAAATCTTTCGTTCCCACGGGAAATTACAATAACTGGTTTTATCGAGTCCTCCCTAGAAACCTTCCGCTGGCTAAGCCTTAAGACATACATACATTAAAACAATATACTAAATAATTGTAGGTCTTGAAAAGTCCTACAGAAAAGTCCTGAGTTGTATATGTATATATTTATTCTTATCTATACGTATAATGAAACTAACTTAGTCAAATCGATGTGCGCGATTCACGCAAAAAGTACTGAACCTATTTTTACAAAATTTTGTATAGTGATAACTTAGTACTCGGGTCAACATTTAGGATACATTTTACGACAGGCAAATTATTCATTCCCTCGGGAAAACACAATAACTGGTTCTATCGAATAGTCCTTAGAAATTTATATGGCTAACGCTGGCTCAACCTTAAGAGATAGATCAAAACATTGTACAAGAAAATTGTAAGTCTTAAAAAGGTCCATAGAAATGTTCTCAATAGTATATGTGCATCTCCTAAGGTACATTCGCTATAACTATTTTCATTATTGTATATTACTGTTTTATTATACGTTATTTATTCTATCTATAAATATAATAAAACGGTAGAGGTCGAATGTCTGTGCATAGAAAAAATGCTAAAATCAAGTCAGTTATCTTCTTACATCCCGTAAGAAGAAAAATAGAACGAATCCAGATTTTTTTTTATTTTTTGTTTCTCTGTCTGTTTGCCTGTTTTTATGGGCTACTCTCCGAAACAATTGGACCGATTTAAATGAAATTTTGCATGGTCGTACATCGTTGTATATCCCCGGTCATCATGTTAGATACTTTTCATTCCGGAAAATTAAAGAGTTCCCGTGGGATAGTTAATAAACTATAGGAACTTAAACAGCTTAGTACACAACAACTTATGCACTTAATTTAGTAAAATTTGGCATGCTGATACCTTATATTGCCGGTCAAACAACAGGTTACTTTTCATCCCAGAAAATGAACGGTTTCCGTGGGATGTGGGATTTTTGTTTGTTTGTAACGTATTATGTACACAATATAGACCCCAAAACAATTGTTATTAAAAATTTTGTCTGTTTGTCTGCGTGTATGTGTGTTTGTCAGTTTGTCTGTTTGTATATTTGTACGGGCTAATTTCCGAAACTGTTGGACTGATTTAAATGAAATTTTGCATGGTGATACCTTATATCCTCGGTCAACATCTTAGATACTTTTCATTTCAGAAAATTAAATAGTTCCCGTGGGATAGTTAAAAAACTATAGTATCTTATACAGGTTACTATTTTGGAATTTTGGAATTGGAACTACTTTTTTTTTAGTTGAAATCCTATTACGGATACCACCCAACTTCCCCCAGGGTGGTTACGTGGAGAGTCTCCGACTAATGAGACCGGCATACCCACTAAAACCCAACTTACCCCCCCCCCCCTGCTGCCATGTGGGACGCCACGGGACCGCTTTCGCATGCAACCGCGACGCCCCGACGGTTCGCCGAAGCCACCAACCATGAGGCCGCCCCAAGCGGGACAACCCCATTATGGGAAGACTCTCAACCCACTACGTGGGGCTGCTCCCAAGTCCACTCTGCTGGTCAGAGAAGTACCCGGTGGGGCTGCCACCCGACACAAATAATTTCCCTCCCAATTTGAGCAAACCCCAGCCCCCCCCCCCCTCCCAAAAACGCCCGAAAACGAGCCCAACCACAAACGGCTGCATGAGAAGAGGATACGACAACGCCGACACTCCCCTTCCCCTGCAGCTCCCCTACCGTCGGTCCACCTCTGGACCAAAATGGCTGCCGACATAACTCGCCAGACGCAGGACCACCGAACTGGCCCCGCTCCAGCCGCCGCACCGACGAGCAGTGTGGCCCGCGCAGCGCCTCCTACCGCGAAACGCCCGGAGACACCGCGCTACCTCCAAAAAGGAGACGGCGCCCTCCTAACGCCGCTCCCTCAATCCCCCTCCTGGCTGTTGGTCCGCGCTGGATTGCTCCGGTACCACAAGCTCCTATCGGGTCTAAACAGACGCCAGTGGTGTTTCCCTATCCGCCACCCGGGGAACGCGTCCGGTAGCAGTCAGCCTCTACCCCGGACCCTGGGAACTACTATTAGTTACCACGAAAACCTAATCTAAAGATCTATATCTTTATTAGTGTTTTTCTAGGGACGAACCCGAGCGAAGCGAGGGTGAGCCGCTAGTGTTATATAATATAGCCGTTCTTATGACTAAGGCTCAAGCCACTACACGTGTGCATTTTGTAAACCACGCCGAATTGCGATTTTTGTTTTGATGTATGCTGACGAGTATTTAACTCGAAGAGAATTAAATAGTCGTCCGCATACACCTGGAACTGAAAAACACATAAAATTTTATTCTTTAATAAGCTGAGAGGCGCAATCGCGTTTTATTGTGTTGCATATAGAAAGTACTAAGTGAATTTGTTATAAAAAAATATGCCAGAGTATTGTTTTTTTTTATTACTCATCGTCGTATAGTCTGATTATTAAATAATTAATTCAATGATAGTAAAAATATGTAGATAAACTACTCCAGGCAGCGGCAGCACTCACCAATCAAAAAAACTTTCAAGCGCGCGAATTTTTGTTTCTTCATGTCTTGTTCTTCTTGCAGGCTTTTGATGTAAAGTCCTTCTCTGTGCTTTAACATTATTGCCCTTTAAGTAAAAATATAAATGAAATTGTAATACTTATTCTGTCTATTTTGATTCCAAATTAAAATGAAAATGAGCATGGGTGGCAGCAGAATTATTCCCAAGGGGATGCATCTGCTTTTTCACATTAAACTACTAACTAGATTTTCAATGATATGATGTAATGTATCATTTTTATTCATATCTTATTTATCATCGTATTTCGCAGTTATCTACATTTAAAAATGGATTTGAGTAATACAATTTTATTTCCTTAACTTTTTCTATGTATTTTTCTCCCTCGCAAGGGGAATCAAGTGCATCCTCCTGCACCCCTCCTCCTGGCGCCCATGAATTTCAGATTTGAATGAACATACACTTGTGGATGATAAATGATGATGTGGCTTATAAAATGAAATGTGTCTAATTTTTTTTTTATTTATTTCATTCAATTATCGCTGAAATATACACTTTCAAAGTCGTAAACATTGTGTAGAACTAACATTTAAAATAGTGGGTGGGAAATTTAAAAAAAAAATTGATTACGTTGACTCTAACTAAAGAATTATATAAAACCACTTCATATGCAAGTGCTTTTTTTTGAGTTTATTTTTATTACATAAATACTTTTTAATTGATTCCAAATTTACTTTATTTTCTTTTTAGTTTTTTAACTTTGACATTGAATAAAATTATTGATATAGTATGTAATTATAAATTTTCCTCGAGAAGAGTTTATTTATTAGTTTATTATTATTTATATTGAAATAGAGGCTTTAAATGTTGTTTCTTTTATTATTACAGGTGAGATAATATTTTATTATAAGTGTAATTTTTAAAATGTTTTTTGTATTTAAATTCTAATAATGAAATAAATCTTTTATTATTACAGAAACGCAGTTAAGTCTTTATTTTTCAAATAAGATAAATAACATTATTATAAAACAACATTTATTGCAAATATTTCACAAAACATGGAAAGTTAAGATTTGAGTTTGCAGTGAAACCAACAGCAGATGGAAAATCAAATCTTATATGTATAACCTCGATAACTACACCTGAAGGACAAATTTTATCACAATAATCAGTAATAATATTATTGTAAGCGGAGCGGTAATTTGGATCGCGCAAAAAACGCTTCTCCAAAGCAAAAAATCTACTTTTAGAACTCTGCATTGAGTCACCTAAAGCTGAGGGGTTAGTTTTAAATGGCAGAGAAACAACATAAGTACCTGTTGCTTCGCGGGTAGTTGAAGACTTGTATAGATCTTCACATACTTTTTCATCATGACTAAGCAAGGCGGAGCGAGGAGTGGAAACTTCTTTAGTTTCCCAAAAACTTCTCATCAGTGCATCTAACGGCTGGCCGGTAAAAGCACAGAACGTATGAGAGGGCCGAGCGGCGATGCGGGGGGAGCGACACTTAACAGGAGCATCGCCCATTAAAATAAATCCAAGCGGGGTTTGAATCCCGTTGGGGTACCTGGAGGTCCATGGACGCGGCCAGGCAGCAGTAAGCGGGTAAATAACTTAGCGCCAATCAATATCTCGACCTCACCGGGATCAGAGAATGTATCATCAGCAAGCTTCGTGCGGGAAAGGTAAGCTAACATTGACCTATCAATAGGCAACGTAGGAATACGGTCCGTAATATTTTCCACAACAAGTGGTTGTAAATTGAAAGAAATATTACGATCAAAACGCGAGTAAAATTTAATATTTGTTTCTCCCTTAACCTCTTTAGAAGAACCACCAAACCCGTTTACAGTAACTTGTTCAGTAAGTGAAGTAATTTTTAATGATAATTTCTTACAAAGATTAATAGTAACAAAGTTATTCATAGATCCATTATCAATCAGAGCGCGAGCGATGTATTCGTAACCGTCACTTGTACGCAGTACAATGCGCGCCGTAGCAAGTAACACGGTGTGCGCGTCGCGTAAACTCAGCAATGTATTCGAACACATTGATAGCGGTTGCATAACGCTATCGGTATGAGACGCGTCGTACGAGCGAGATAGGGCAGGCGAGTAAGTAGTCGCGCCCGATGACTCAGCGGTGTGCGGTGCATGCGTAGCGTGTTTTTGTTCCGCGGTGAGTCGGGGTTCGATTCCTGAGGCGGGAGTCGATGTTACATTTTTATGAACATGTAAAAGAGTGTGATGCGTTTTAGATTCACAAATACTACAAGATTTATTTGATTTGCATAAAAATGTTTTATGATTAAAACTTAAGCAGTTGCAGCAACTATTGTTTTCTTTAACAATATTATAGCGTTCTTTAGGCGTTAATTTAAGAAATTTAGGATAGCGTTAAAATCGTTCGTGACCTATTTTTGAGCATAATGGACAACAATTATTATTTGATTCGGAAGTAATAAAGGATTTAGTGTGTTTAGCATTATTAACCGGTTTAGGTGCGAAGTGAGAAGAACTTTTACTAAAAGAGTTTTTACTAGTGGATAGAGTATTAAAAGTATTCGACGAAAAACGTTCTATAATTTTTACTTGTTCTTTTATGAACTTAACTAAAGATTCATAAGTGGGCAATTTTTCCCTTCTAACATAAAGCTCAAAGTTACGAATAGTTTCTTTATCTAATTTTTGTAATGCTAAAAATAGAAAAATAAAATCTTTTTTGTTTGAAATATTTAATCTATCGAATGCACATACAGATGCTGCAAATTTATCTAAGAAAATATTTAAACCATCAGTGGAGGCTGTGGTCAACGGTTTCAAATTAATAATTTGTTGTAAATATGTAGTTGCGAGCGTGGGAATATCTTGGTATTTGTCAACCAGCGTAGAATATATTAAATCGTAATTATCTGCGGTAGGCGATATACCAGAAATAGCGGTTAACGCGGACTTGGAAAGAATACCGGATAAATAAAATACCTTATCGGATTTACTTAAATTTGTGTTATTATGTACTGCGTTATTAAAACATTCAAAAAATGATGGACAATTCTTTAAGTCTCCATGAAACGTTTTTAAATTAATAGGAGGTAAATTTAATCTAGATTTCTCTGTAGGTAGCGGTGTAGTATGGTTTTTTAGCTGCTGTACTATAGACTTTATGAAACAATAAATTTCTTCGAACACGAGGAACGTATTATAATCTGGAGAAAATTCAGGATCATTTTGCATTTTGAGCAAATTTAATTCGTCTATCGACTTAAGATAGTCTGTCCTCAACTGATCGATATTATACGCAGAACGTAAAAATGAATCTTGTAACTGAGAAGTACTTATGTTAGGTTTACTAGAAGAAGGATTGTAGTCTACTAAAATATGCTTGCATACGAGATTCTATTAATTTAATTGTTATAGGAACATCGGTATCTACCTTTTGCGATCGACTTTGCATTTTGAATAATAATTAAATATGCGTTAAGTTTAAGGTAGAATAATAAAAATGCGCTCGAGTACTAATGATGCGAGTCAACAAGTCGAGAAATGCGTGCGATAATTATGGCGAGACGTTTCATGGTCAACTTTATATTTATGTAATTAATAATTATATTAATAATTAGAGTAACAAATAAAATGGTACATTAAAACGAATTATTGTAGCGAGTATAAGTATGTAAATTTACAAAATAATATACTATTGCAGTGTAATTAAAAGCGAAAATAAATATATATAATATATAATACCTATGTGCGAGAAAATTATTAAAATAGCGGGAATATTATAAAGCGTGAATTACAGCCTTATTAAGGTCTGTAAGCGGTGAGACAAAATATAATTGCAAAAAAAAGAATGATAATCCGGCTCGAAGGACCACGCGAGGGGGGGGGGATGTACGCGCCAATCGCGAACAGCACCCTCGAAGGCAGTTTCAAGGAAGGTAAGGGTGGTTCACGTGCCCTCGGTACGCAGTTCAACTAAAGGCCACTTTCCCCGATCCCCCGTCGGCAAGAATACCCTAACGCAAAAGAGAAAAGCACTCACCTGTGTGTCTTCTTCTGCCGCGCGTTCCAGGCGCCTGGGATTCCCAAGGGTCGGGTGTACCAGTGCTAAAACACTGCTGCAGCGGTAAAAATAATTCAGCGACCGTACAAAGGCCACTCGCGAACTTATAGCCACACCTTAGCGGTTATTATAAAAGTAGATTACGTCCGTCCACGTCGCGAGCGACGAGCAATGGTCGAGAGAGAGAGCACGGTTGATGCGCACGAATATTGACAACAACAAGGGTCGTGCATTCCCTCGTACGTCATAAGCATTCTGCCGAACGGTAAGAACGGTAAAAATGTCCCAAACACCAGGTGTCATCTCTACGAACTGCTTCTACCCACTTTCTCTTTCGAGAAGAGTCACTAGGAAATATAAAATTTTGTGTAATTTATGTGTTAATATAAAATAATATTTATTATTATTACAATTGAAAAATATTCCAAAGTATATAAATGTGGTATCAAATAAAATAAAAAATTAAGTGCACATACTAAATATAACTTTTGCATTTATAATATTTTTATTTGATTATAAAAAATATTATTATAAATTTATTGTCATCAGATTGTAGGATACTGTGATAAAAGTATTTTATGTTATTGTACTGTACAAATAACATAATTCGTTCAGTCATTTCGTCTAATATTGATATATTTGTCGACATTGTCAAGCACTAGTCGATGTCAAATGGACTCACTCGACAGTTTTGTCATTCGTTTTAAACGGTATAATCCAGCCATTTTATGATGGTTGTCAGATGTCAACAATACATAGAAATATCGACTATATTTAACATAGTTGGATAATACGACATTTTATTTTACATTTGATTAAAGAGTCTAGCCGCACTTCTATGGCGAAAGTGCCCCCGATAGGAACTTATATCGTAACCAATGTTATATTGTTGAGGACACCAACAGTAGTTCATCGAGTAGATTATAGCTCTATATCTTAGTTAATTAAGGAGCTGTTTGAAAAAAGTGTGCGTAGGCGACTTTTTTTCATAGCGATATATCTTAGTTAATTTCAAAGTTAGCAAAATAGATCTAAATGTTAGTGTTATAGTACACTTTATAGTTTATTTTATAGCCGTTTCCTATGGAGCAAGCCTAAATGAAAGTATTAAAAAAATGCAAATAAAAATTTTGTCAATCGATTTCTATCCGATCTAATTAAATTACTACTTTGAAAAAAAAAATTGTATATATATTGTCTAATAGCATGCCAAGTTTCATTAAAATCCAAGGGGTGCAACATATCGAAAAAAAAACAAAAGTAAGTGAGCACGTACTTTACGACCACTATGTTGACACTTTTAGTTTTTCAATATTGGGCACGAAAGGTTTAAAAGGAAATGGAATATTTATTTTTTCAATAGAAATTAAACCAATATTCATAAAAAAGTACTTTTATTAGTCATCATCACTATCTTCATTAATTACAACGTGCTCGTTATTTATAGAAAAAACACTAGATAATATTTCTACTGGGCGAACTATATAAGATTTATATCTTGCACACATTCGATAAATAATCCTACTAAGATAACAATAAATGTAATAAAGTACTTACAAGTGAAAAGAAATAGTGCTCCTTCCGCCACTATAGTTTTTACACCATTTAACAGAACATTTAGTCATTTTTGGGAGATGTTTTGTTGACAAGAAAGTGCTCGAGACTGACGCAAAAACAAACGACCAAGGCTAGAATTTCCTGGTTACTGACAAGACCGGTAAAGGTACGTCCGCTTATATGTCGGGTCCAGTGGCTAATTCGTTCATGGCATGGATGTACCGTATAGGGTGCAATAAATACGTAGCTTTGTGCTACTACTTAGATTATCAACCCTTTTTAACTTAAGATTCCATGATTTATCATTATAAGCTTTTATGGCTTGATTAATTTGAAAATTTAATTGATTAAATTAATATTAAGTACTAGTATTTTACGTATTAAAGCGTTTGATCCTAAGATCCTAAGTACATTCGAAAACGATTTCTAAGCAGTATGAGTAGTTTAATACGTGGTGGGAAGGAGGAAATATTCCACGTCTTTAGAATAGAAATGGGGACACAAGTCTCTACCCTTTAGTAATAAGTGTTGAAAATTGACAATTACTGAATCAATCTGATTTGTATCGTTATATATTTTAGGAGATAGTAGGCTATATTAGGATCTAAAAATATATTTATTCAATATAACATATATATATATATATATATATACATATATAATATATATATATATACATATATAATATAATATTTTTTTTTGTTATATATTTCACTTCTTTACTAATTTTTTGTGTGGTGTGCAATAAAATGTTCATTATTATTATAACTTCTGCAAAGCGTGGCCTATTCCCGCGCCAAGTATTTAAAATAGTTGCGCAATTAAAAAAAAAACAATGTGCGCAAATTGTGAAACTTCACATCATAAGTAATAAGTTAAATGTCGATGGCCTTGTTTAATTTAGTTGTATTACCCGTAATTATTCATAGTACTACTGCTTATATTTTATTATTTTAATAAAATATAAATACAGTGTTGAGACGATTTTTGTTTCTCTGTCTGTTTGTCTGTTTGTACGGGCTAATCTCCGAATCTATTGGACCGATTTAAATAAAATTTTGCATGGTGGTACCTTATATCCCCGGGCAACATTTTAGATACTTTTATCCCGGAAAATTAAATAGTTCCCGTGGGATAGTTAAAAAACTATAATAACTTATACAGCTTAGTACACAAAAACTACTGACTGGACTTTAATAAAACTTTAAAATAATATACTTCATACATGACAATAACAAATCGGCTACTTTTCAATCCGGAAAATTAAAGGGTTCCCGTGGGACCGTCAAAAAACTATAGTAACTTATACAGCTTAGTACACAAAAACTACTGATTGGATTTTGATGAAACTTTACAATAATATAGGTCATACATCAGAATAACAAATAGGTTACTTTTTATGCCGGAAAAATGTACTGTCCCCGTGGGATAGATGTATTTGTTTATT